CTGACTTCTATTTTGCCTTTACTAGTTTCTCGGTTCTGTGCTGAAGTTTACCGCATGCTGTTCAGTTCCTCCAACTCTGAATCGGTGTGTGCTCAAGGCAGTAACTCACTGTAGCTCTGGATGAAACCTCTCCCTTGAGAATGTCTTCAGAAAGGACGGTAGCTTTGAAGTGTCAGGAAATTCACCGGGAATAAGAAGAAACGAAGCTACAAAGAAGACACCAGGAGTAAGAAAATAGCAATGCTCAATGATGGGGCAAATATGCCTGTCAAAGTAGAGGCGATTGTCAGCGAGGGAAGCTGCCACCTCATGTCCATTGCCAAGGACTCGGGGAACCAGCCAAGCCTCCCTTAATTGAGTAAAATGACAATCAGCCATGGTACGAAAACAGAGATGATTTTTATAAATAGGGTTGATAGCAGGATTTTTCCAGCTTCTGATTGCTGTCTGGCTATGGTTCCACCCTTAGAAAAAAATTCTGTCCTTCGAGTGCCAAATTCAGAAGATGATTTTGCCCAACTTGTTACTGCCATATTTTCTGAATCTCTTAAAATAGATTTGAATCATAATTTAGAAAAAGGACCCAACAGGCAAAAATGGATGGGTACATAGGATAAAGCTCGGGTTTGTGAGAGGCACTCGCCCCACGAATAGTGAAATCTTTCTTAAATCTTTCTTAAATCTAAAAATTTTACTGAAGCATAGCTTCTGACATTACATGGAGAATGGTCTCTTCCTACAGTAGATTCCTTTGGGGAAATGGAAATGTTAGGTGCTCGTTAGCTCTTTTAGTTTGGTGTCCTCCCCCCAGAGAAAATCCTGTCTTCTCTCCATCCTACTCCTCTACCGCATTGCCTGACTCTTCTGTCTCTCTCTCTCACACATGTACACACACTTGCACACACACTCACATACACACAGTCTAGTGTTCTTGAATCAATGCTATATAGCTAAACTTAAGAAAAGAATTTACGTACAGAATTTGTTCCCGTCTTGCAGTGATGGCTTAAAGGGCCTTCTCTAACTCACTGTTAAAGACAGGCCGAGGCCCCACAAATAAGCTATCTCAGCAACACAGGGCAGCCTCTGAGTAAGGAGTCTTGATCTCTGAGAAGACACCAGAGGCTTCAAAGGGCTTTCCGAGGGGAATGGGGGCTGCCTCCAGGGCCCGCTGTTCTCATGGTGGGCCATCTCCGTGCCTTATCCATGCATCTTTTGGCCTCCCTGGATCTTCATGTGAGCAAATCGAATGCAGACCTCATTGTGGTTTTGATTTCAAATGTCGTTCTCTACCAGGGACCCTGGGAGGCATCTCAGCTTACACTACCTCACTTAGTCCTCCCGGTGACCCGGTGAAGTAGACGATCTCGTTTCCCTCACTCCACAGAGGAGAAAATCAGAGTTCAGAGAGGTCCAGAGCAGTGTCAGAATTTGAATCCAGATTTTTTTTTTTTTAACTCTAAGCTAGAACACCTTCTTTTTGAGTACCACCATTGTGAGGACCTGTCTTTTGACTAGAAGGAGAGCACAAACATCTGTGGCCAGCCCATCAGGAGCCAGTGGCTCGGGAAGTCTCCTCTTCATCCTTATATCCTCCTGCCTGCTTTCTCTGCCTGTACCTGGACCCGCGCACCACCTTTCCAGAACGTTCACTTTTCATTCTTTCCTGGTGCTCTTTTATCTCTAGTTTACATAGACCTCGTGGGTCAAGGGTTCTTTTATTTGCCCAACTCTGGATTCTGCTGTCAAAGGAAGTAGTGGAGACAGATACTTACCCAAAACCATAATTCAAGTCCAAGGGTAAAAGGCGTTCCCATGTGTGTATTTTGTTCCAGCCAATGACAACATCCATCTCCTCCATGTCTATCTGCTTGCCTTAACTATGATTTTTTTCCTACCTAGGAATTCAACAAAACAGTGATTGGATTAAAAACCAACCTAAACAAGTCATCGAGATAAACACTTCTCATGTCCCTATGCAACAGGGATGAAGGGGCTGAGTTTGGGAGGGTATAAAGCTTGTTTCTAGAGCTTCCGGGGAGCAAAGCCCCAAACCCCAGGCTCTCAGCCACTCTTCATTTTGTTATTAAATGAAGAAATGTGTAGTTTCCATGGCAACAACCCTACCAAAGTTTTATAGCCTCTCTGAGTATTTGCTGGACCACATCTCACTTTTCAAAGCAGGTACTCTGAAGGGACCCTTCTCAAAACCACATACTAAGGTGAGAATGGGGAACCCCACCACCCGGCCCTTTTATTCAATGTGTATCTCCAGAATTTGGCATAAGACACAACTGCCTCTAGCCTCAAGAAAACTCTAGATATTATTTCTGTCTTTCTGGGTCAGGTCGTCCCTGGCAAGAAAGCTTCAAATCCGGCTAAAGGCAGTTTGTGAAAATGCTAGGTTGCAGCAGAAAAGATTTGGTGACCTTGTTGTTGCCTCTGTCATCTTAATGTTTCCTTGTCACTGAGGTGAGGCAGGCCCTGCCTATTCCTCCGTGCCCTCCTGTGTGGAGAGCGGTCTTGGGCAGGCTAAGTTACATAGCGCAAGCTCATGATGTGGCAGACTCGATGACGAGCCTCTTGCCCCCTTTGGGAATGAAGGACTTGCTCCCTCGCTTGCTGAGAAGGTTGCAACCTGGGGGGACTCAGAAAGTCCACTCAAGGTCACTCTCCCCTTCTGAGCTGGTCTCCATCCAGTGGTGGGCTGGGATGAGTCTCCGAAGGCCCAGCCCCCTTACTCAGGACAGCTCTGAAGGGTCCTCCTGGAGGGGTGGACGGGACCTGTTGAGACTGCACCGCAGCTGAATGTCCGCCATGCCCAGACCCTTCCAGCAGGTGTTAATACCAAGGGTGTGTCCTAGTAAGTGTCTTGGCTGCTGATTTCCATGCCAGGGTCTTTTCCTCAGACACTAGCATGGAAACCTTGACTTATGGCACATCCCAAGGTCTAGAAGCTTCCCACGTCCGGGGTGTCCCCCCCCAGGAAAGCAGAGTCAAGGCAGCGAGCTACAGTAGGACCACCAGGGGCCTGGCAGTGTTCTTTGATCCTGGACGTAGTGCATAGTCCCGAACTCATTACACTTCTGATGGATGACAGCGCTTTCATTCTGCTCCAGGGTTCAATTTTTTGTGACTTAGGGATGTTCACATTTGCCATCTAACACTGGTAAGGTCTGATGAGTCTCCAAAGAAGGAGAGGTTCATGTACTCACATGCCACCTTTACCAGCAAGAGTCCTGTGGGCATCCCTTCTCCTTGTCCCTTAACTGTGGCTGCTGTCACTAATCACTACAAACTCAGGGGCTAACAACACAAATGGTTTGTCTCATGGTTCTCATGGTCAGATGCCCAAAGTCAGTTTTACTAAGTGAAAGGGAAGGTGATAGCAGGGCTGGCTCCTTCTGGAGGCCCTAGGACAGAAAACATTTCTTGGCCTTTTCTGGTTTTAGAGGCCATACACAGTCCTTGGCTTGTGGCCCTTTCTTCTAAGTCAGCAGCATAGCACCTGTGTTCTGTATGACCTCTGCTTCTACCTTTACATCTGCTCTCTTCTGACCCCCGCTTCTCACCAAAGGTCCTTTGTGTGGAATGACCTGGAGCCCACTTGGATAATCCCTCCACACCAAGACCCTTAACTTACTCTCCTCTGCAAAGTCCCTTTGGCCATGGAAGGTAACATTCATAAATTTTGGGGATTGGCATGTGGACGCCTTCATGGGGTCATTGTTCAACATCTGACCCCAGTGACCACGACTGAGTGAGGGTTCCAGGCAGAGGGACGAACACCGGCAGAGACAGGGAGGCCTGGCCTGATGTCATATGGGCAGCTGTGGAGATTTGTTCTGGAAAAGGGACATATCAAGTGATCAGACTGGTGGTGCCTGGGAGGCTCAGCTGGTGAAGAGTCTGCCTTCAGCTCAGGTCATGATCTCAGCGTCCTGGGATCGAGTCCCGCATCAGGCTCTCTGCTCGGCAGGGGAGTCTACTTCTCCTTCTCCCTCTCCCTCTCCTTCTGTGTTCTCCCTCTCTCTCTCTCTCAAATACATAAAATCTTAAAAAAAAGAAAAGTGATCAAACTGGACAGAGATGCAGGTGAGCTAGTTCATTTAGGATGTGTGTTCCACGCTTGAATTAGAGTTAATTATAAGGGTGACATACCTCCCTCTTTGCCCATAAACACCTGAGGCCAGGACTTGGGTCACCATCTTCCTGATGCCACCACAGCTCTGGCTCTGTGACCAACCCAGGGCAGGAGCTGAGCACAGGTGTGTGCCCTCAACAAATGCTAGCTTTGCCCGAGGACACTGCAGTGGTGGAGTGCTCTGAGAAGAGAACTACAGGCACCAGAGCCTGGCTGGCATGATCCCAGGCAACTTCATCTTGGCGACGTGATGGCCTGTTTGGCACTGACTGGATGGGGGCATTTGCTGAGCCGGCAGTGTGCGTGGGCACGGGGGGAGAAGGCTTTTGAAAGTGTTATGTAATAAACCGGGCACAATGATCACAGTCGAGGCTGGAAAATGGGTATGTGAGGGTTCCTTACGCACTTCTGTCTACTGAGCGGTTCCATAATATGAAGTTTTTTTAAGTTACGTGAGCAGAAATGAGCGGCACATGGCATCCTTGAAAGCTTAACGGGTATCAAAATGGAAGAGAGTCTGTGGTAATAATTGGGGGAGAAGAGGGATAAAAAGGATGAAGACTCTGAAAAGCTCACGTCTGTTACTTCTGAGGAAACATCTGTATGAGCGCTTCATAAACTGCAATGTGTTCCAGAACCCTGAGGGGCCGTTCCTCAGTTTTTTAATGCAGACAGTATTTCCTTGGGAACAAGGCCATTTCCCAACTTTTGTATAATGAATGAGATGAATTTCCTTTGCATCTAGGAGCCTTAGGGCCCGCTGGAGTCCTTCCTTCTCCACACTCAACCTTCCCTTAGACGTTCTGGGTTTGAGGTGTGTTGATTTTCTCCCCTCTCTGCCCACCCCCATCCCCAGACGCTGAAGGACGCCAGTGACAACGCGCGCAAGGACTTCCACCGTGAGGCAGAGCTGCTGACCAACCTCCAACACGAGCACATCGTCAAGTTCTACGGTGTCTGCGTGGAGGGCGACCCACTCATCATGGTCTTTGAGTACATGAAGCACGGGGACCTCAACAAGTTCCTCAGGTAGGGTGTGGGGGGAGGTCTCGGCAAGGGGCTGGAAGAGGGAGGAGGCCTCCACTGTTCAGACGGCCTGAGAGAGAGGACAGGGAGCTCCTGAGAAGGGTCAGGGGTGCCCCTGGAACATTCTCTGGTGACAACACCAACACGTTGTACAGAGAAAGGAACGGAGGACACAGGAGAAATGAGGGACAGGAGAAATAAACTGACTTACTCTTTGGGGAAGGGAACCAAGCAGTGCCTTTATTTGCCTTGAGCAGAGGTACAAACGGAAGTTGCCCATTTACAAGCATGAAGAACACATGGTCCCAGTAGTGTGGGCTGGGAGACTGCATTCTCCTTCCTCGTCTATATCAGCAGCCACGTCCTCCTGGGTGGGTCTCCAGTTGCCTCAACTCCCAGGTGGGCCTGAGCAGGACCCTCTGTATGTCATCTGTGGCTCAAACACTCTGTGTTCTTTCAAACATGGCTGTCTCTCAGCCTGTGGTATCTTGGCAGGTAGCATAATTGAGGAGAAACAGGAAAGATGTTGGCCTTAGTTTTCTTAACTGTGAAAGGGGTATAATACTATCCACATCAAGAACTAGTGTCAGGATGATTGCGATAATAGACGATCAACATATACTGTCTCTACAGCCACATGGTTGAGGGATCTGCAATCCTGGGGATGTTCGACCTCTGTTACAGTGACATCTAGATCTCTCTGTCCTCCTCCAGTTCCTGGGGGTCCTGGAAAGGGCTTTCTGAAGGAGTGGGCACCAGGCAGCCTCTGAAAAATTCAGAAACTGTGATGTTTAATAAGTCTGTCACTGAGAGAATGGTGGAGGCGGGCGGTGTACTGCTGTGCTTAGAAATGTCATTATGCAGTTTGTACCTTCTGGGTCACTTTTACGAGGCTCATGAATACCCATATAATTTAGTTGTCCTTTACTGGTATGGGTCCCCCTTCTCAGCCTTGCTTATGATGGTGTTGGCGGAGGGACTACCAGTGACACTAGGAATCTGTAGCCAACTCTCGGCTCTCAGAGTCGGTCATCCTGATGTTTTACTCAGTGTCAGAACTTTTCCTTGCAGGAGAGAGGAGAGGGAATGATGACAGATTTTGTCTTTCAAATCTCATGTGAAAGGAGGAAAAGAAGCTACTTTTGGTGGAGGTCTAGTTGCTCGTAGAAGTATTTTCCCCTTGTTCCCACGTTCTAGGCTACTTCTCTAATTAAAAATGGTGCTTTCCAAAAACAGAGCATAATACCCCAAACATATTCAGCTAGATGCAACTAAATGTTTCTGCGAGCTCCTACTGTGTTTGCGCATGTATGCAAGTATGTGTGTGTGTGTGAGCATGTATGTAAGTGAGAGCGTGTGTGTGTGTGTGTGTGTTGATCCTTTCACTTTTGGCTCAGCCAATCTTTCCCTAGCTCTCCTTCCTGCTTCCAGAAGGAACAGGCACCTGATTCTCCCTGGGTGTCTTGCACAAGGCATGGAGTTACTAGAAATCTCTCCCTCTCGATTTCAGAATCTGCTGAACTCTGGTAGCAAAAGGTTTTCAATGCCAAGAAGCAGGTTCTCAGGCATAATAATGCACTGTGAACTACAGTCCGTCCTCCATTTCTGGAAGGGAACCCAGTCCCTAAATGCCATGACCATGTCCCCACATGTCACTGGCTCTGCCCTATAAAGGCAGATGTCTACAGTGTCCTCTCGCCCTTTTTTATTCATTCCAAAGCCATACATCAAACACCAACACCTTGTGCTAGGGTGACTGGGAAATGAGGAGAAACACATAGTTCTTGCTTGCAAAGAGGTGCCAGTTTTTCCTCTAGAATCTCTCCCAGAATCCTTCCAACAAGTTTGCAAGCAACAACAGCTAATGTTATTGAGCATTTTAAATGGTTTAACTTGTATAAACTTAATAAATTATTATTATAATCATTTCTATTTTACGGTTAAGAAAAAAAAACCTGAGTAATAGAGCTGAGATTCAAACCCACAGCCTCTGGCTGCAAAGCCCAGAGCTTTAAGCATGCATTGCTTCCTCTAGAGGTACCCGGTGAAAAAAAATAAGAAGGAAAGTAGCATGCTGTGGAATTCAGAGCCGGACCACGTGGCTAAGTGCCCACTGTAACCCACACTTGGAGAGAATAAGCCAAGGAAAGATGAACAGCCTCCCTCATTAGAAGCCCACTGAACCCTCCTGCTTCCCCAGCCAGGGTGCTAATGGCACTTTTCTCCTTTTAAGTCATGTTCTTCCAGAAGAGGTAAAAATATGTTTTTATTTCCAGGAACTTCAGGGTAACCTGGAGAATGAAGCAGAGGACTTTTGTGTTAACTTTATTTATACTCCTCTTGGGAACTTGTTTAGAAGAATTGCCTGCCCTCTTTTTACAGCAGGACTTTCTGCTCAAAGGCTTCTCCTGTTAAAAGGAGTCTTGTTCAAATACTCAAAAGCAAGTAGAGGAGACAACTGGTTTACAGTGCAGGAACCTGCACTAAGACTTCTCCTCTTCTCTGGAGTCTTTGCAGTGCATAGATTCTTAGAAGGGTCCAGATTCCTGGGGCTGACATAAGGTTCTGGCAAGTGAGCCAGATTTGATTTGAATCTATGAAGATTCCATCCTGGCCTAGATCCTCTGGATATTTCAGGATTTCTCCCAGTTCGTGTGTTCTTCTAGGTCTCTCTGCTGGTGTTGAAGTCACAGTGAGGGTTTTGTCTCCTGTGATCAGTGAAGACGTTCCCCCCTTCCTCTGCGCACTTAGTGCTGGGAAGAACAACCTTTGAGCAATCTTTAATGCTGGCTTTCCGTGAAAGACCACAAAGCTCTGTTCTTGCCCAGTCTCAGTTACTACTCCCGTAAGAGAGCTTAGGAGGGTGCAGTGGGTACCCACATTTTATGGAGGTGAACCGTGCTAGGACCTCCTGGCACAAAAACAGGAAGCTTCTCCCTAGGAATGGTTCAACCCGGATATTTAGGGGTACAAGGGACCTACACGATCATTTAGCCTAATAGCCCTCTGTTTGACTGACGGGAAAAATCACCGACTGGACAAGTTAAAAGTCTTCCCTAGATCCTGATGGCAGAAAACTCCCCTCCTCCTTGTCCATGTTTTTTCTCTGAGAATACAAGAATGATGGATTTGGAAACCCAGCAAGGGGGAAATCACTGGGGGCTGGAGCCAGGAAGAAGGGGCATACACCTGCAGCGGGAAATGAGCCAACTGACGTGGGGCTGGCCGGTGCAGGGAGAGGCAGAAGGAGCAGGGTATTCTGGAACAACTCCAACCCTCAAATACTCCTACAGCTTCACACCCTTGCAGGTGGGATCATCTACTTCAAAATCCATTCAAAACCTTCTGAATTGATTTTGAGTGCTTCCAGCTGTCCTGAAGGAAATCTTCTCCCTTATTTGCCTCTGGGAGGAGCAGCCCTTTGACCACTCGGCCACGGCTTCTGGAAGAGAGGGACCCTTTATTCTTTACCCTGCAGCACCCCTCAGGCCATCAGGGGCCTGTGACACCAGTCTTGGCAGGATTCCAGAGAGGGGATGGGGCTGAGCGCACATCCTGGTACCGGATGAAGCATATGCCGGTGTTGAGATGCCCTAAGTCATCACAGGGCTAGGGAAAGGCCAAATGCACAAGATAGAAGAAAAAGAAGATATAAAATACCATACTCCCGCCCCCCCCCCCCGCCATAGTATAAAAAATAAAACTTGGCCCAGTAAAAGAAACAATGTTTTGTGATTCTAGAACTCTCCATGTGGTGGCCAGTGCACAGGTGGAGCTGGAGGAGGGGGGAGGGGTGGGCATTTTTCACAGCAAATGAATGTCCAGACAGAGGGTGCCCTGGGATTCTGCTCAGGTGGGCTTGAGGGAGACCAGGACAGATTGGAAACTCTGGCCCCAGTGGGGGCACCCTGGAGGCTTTGGCCCAGGTCAGCAGAGGGGCGGGGGAGGGTGTTCCAGCTGCAGCTTGTAGCTGGGAGGGGACGGCTGGGACTCCCACTGGGACACGGTGAACCATCACTCCAAGAAAGCCAAACTCTCCCCCTGTGTTTTGGTTTTGGTTTTGGTTTGGTTTATTTTTATTTTACTTTTATTTTGTTCAGGTTTTTTGCACTACTGCCTCTCAGGGTTGGGGCTCTGGCCAGTGCCAGTGCCAGACTAGCTCCAGAGCCCCCAAAGTCAGACCTGTGTGTGTGTGTGTATCAAGGAGGGTACCATGCAGACCCACGTGGTCCCGAGAATTCTAGATTTCCAGGGAGTTGAAGCTTTAGGGGTACATCTGTGGGTAAGCATCTCTGCCCCACCCCTGCTTTTTCACTAAGTCAGGCTGCCCTTGAGCCCTAGCCACTGCTGGGAGACAGAGCTCCTGGAGGAAAGTGCTGGAACTTCAGCAACGTTTCTGTGCCCTCCACAGGGCCCACGGGCCTGATGCCGTGCTGATGGCCGAAGGCAACCCGCCGACGGAGCTGACACAATCCCAGATGCTGCACATCGCCCAGCAGATAGCCGCGGGCATGGTCTACCTGGCGTCCCAGCACTTCGTGCACCGAGATCTGGCCACCCGCAACTGCCTGGTCGGCGAGAACCTCCTGGTGAAAATCGGGGATTTCGGGATGTCCCGGGACGTGTACAGCACTGACTACTACAGGGTGAGTGGCTGCGCCCACCAGGGGTCCCCAGGACCCTCTTTCCCTGGGAGTCCCTTGTATTCATTTGCTGGGGCTGCCATAACAAAATACTGCAGACTAAGGGCTTTACATAATAGGCATTTATTTTCTTGGAAGGCTAAAAGTCCAAGGTCAAGGTGATGGCAGGGTTGCTTTCTCCAAAGGCGTCTCTTCTTGGCTTGTAGAAAATGCCTTTCTCCACGCGCTCACATGGTCTTGTTGCTCACACGGTCTTGTTGCTGTGTGCACATCCCTGGTGTCTCTATGTAAATTCTCTTGTCTTATAAGGACAGCAGCCAGATTGGATGAAGGTCTACCACAACCTTGTTTTCATTTAGTCACCTCTTTGAAGACCTTATCTCCAAATACAACTACTGTGTGAGATACTGCAGGTTAAGGCTTCCATGCACAAATTTGGGGGAACACAATGCACCACATAAAACCCATCCTGCTCTTTCCATAGTTCTCCAGACTGGTGTGTGATATATCCAAGAGAAAAGCCCTCAGCATGAAGGTTCTGCCAGGGAAGCCCGAGGGCTTGGAGGAATCCCTCCTTGGCACGAGGTTAAAAGGTTTTGAAGTTTATATTTGATTCTGTGAAATTCTGCCTGGAGCCTTTGTCTGAGGGTGTGGCTGAAGACAAAATTGTTCACATAAATAATAGCACCATAGACCTTGGAAGTTCCCACCCAGAACCACTTCTTGGTTGGAAGTGGATTGTCTGGTGGCCTTCTTTGTGAGGTATAAGAGGTTCTGTCTTGCCTCCTCTTGGAGAGTCCCACCTCTGGCTATCTGCGCTTCCACTACTAGAAACACTAAGGACTAGAGTTACAGAAACAAGTCAGATCCCCTGGTTACCTGGAACTGGTCCCCTTGACAAGATTTGTTAACTGAGATCTTGGAACTTGGGTAGGAGAGGAAAAGGACATTTCTGGAAACCTTGAAGTCACGATATTGAAAGTGAATTGAAGGTTTTCCTGTGGTTTTGCTTCATTTTCATGCACAGAGGAAGAGAATAGGAAGGAAAAGGAATAAATGTGTTGTGTGTACATAGCCTAAGAAGGCCAAACATGTAACTCGACTAGCTTTTGTAAGGTAGGACTGGCAGAGACAATAACTCTCCTCACCTTTGTTCTTCCCTTTATGGTTTAGTTTTGAGGAATTTGTTTGTTTCCTATGCCCCTCTCTGCAGCCTTACTCATTTCTCATGCCCCTGCATTTTAGTTAAGTCAACATCACTACAAGTAGTCTAAGAAAATAAATCCAGGGCTTTGCTGTAGATTTCTTCTGTAGATTTTTTATGGGGTTTCTTCCTTTGTCACCTTGAGAAACATTGTCCACAGTCTACGGGACAAAAAGAAGTGGAGACCAAATTGAAAAAGATTCTCTTGGGTGTGTCTGTAGAAAATTCAAGAATGGTCTTAATTTCAAGTATTCAAATGGAGCTTCAAAGCCCTTGTCCTGAGTCTAATAATGACTAGTTTATTCCGGATAGCTAAAACATGGAGAGAGACTATCTACTGATGGAGGCATCTCCACCATTAGCTCTATTCCTTTGCTGGGAGGTAGGGGTGGGGACGTTTCCCTCTCTCAAGAGATGAAGAACCACATGAGTCCTTCCCTAAAGAAAAGCTTTGCTGATCTTGATAAGCATCGAAAGGAGAAACATATGGCCCAAGCAAGAGCTTCCTCTTTAGCAGTAAGTTAATAAAGGTCTTAGAATTCTTGGCACAAAATAGGTACTCAATAAGAATTTTCAACTTTCTCGTGATCCAAGTGGATAACATCATGCTTCATTCCCAAAGCCACGACTAAGCCAGGTGGGGTCCAATGTCCTTTCCTATAATCTCTAGAAAAAATAAATCAGAGGAGTGAGATAGAAATGCTCAACAGTAAGAAGATAAATTGCCTGATTAAAAAGTAGGCAAAATTTCTAAGTAGAGGTGTCTCCAAAGGAGATATACAAATGACCAATAAGCACAGGAAAAGATGCTCAACATCCGTAGTCATTGGAGAAATATAAACCAAAGCCCTATCAAGAGAGCACTTCACACTCACTGGGAAGCTGTAATAGAGATGGACAACAGCAAGTGTTGATGGAATGTGGGGTAATCAGAGCCCTCAGGCACTGCTGGTAGGGATGCAAAATGGTGCAGCTGCTTTGGCAAATGGTTTGGCAGTTTCTCCAAATGTGCAACACAGACTCATCATATAACTCAGTGATTCCACTCCTAGGTATATTAGCTAAGAGAAGAGAGATCGTATTTGCACACAAAAACTTGTACACAAATGTTCCTAGCAGCATTATTCATAAATTTACCTAAAAAGTGGGAACGACTGGGGCACCTGGGTGGCTCAGTGGGTTAGGGCCTCTGCCTTGGGCTCAGGTCATGGTCTCAGGGTCCTGGGATCGAGCCCCGCATTGGGTTCTCTCTGCTCAGCAGGGAGCCTGCTTCCCCCTCTCTCTCTGCCTGACTCTCTACTTGTGATCTCTCTCTGTCAAATAAATAAATAAAGTCTTTAAAAAAAAAAGTGGGAACGACTTGAGTGTCTGTCAACTGGTGAATGGATAAAGGAGACATGGTGATCCATACAATGGGCTATTATTGTTCACCAGTAAGAAGGAATGAAGTCCTGACACATGCCACAACACAGAGGAACCCTAATGCAACCTTTATGGTAAATGAAAGAAGCAGGCCTCAAAAGATCACATATGTAATTCCAAGTATATGAAATGTTCAGAACAGGCCAATCCATGGAAACAGAGAGTGGTTGCCAATGGCTGGGAGGATGGAGGATGAGGAGTGATTGCTGCTGGATATGGAGTTTCTTTTTGGGGGTGATAAGAATGTTCTAGAAGTGTATAGTGGTGGTGGTTATTTAGTATATTGATAAATGTGCTAAATACCACTGAAAGGTAAATATTATGGTATATAAATTGTATCTCCTGTCTTTAAAAAAAAGTCTAAAAAGTCTAAAACTCTAAGATATATGAATTATATCTCATGTTTAAAAGAAAAGTCTAAAAAGGACAATACTAGCTAAATAGTGACCATTACTATGAACGTAAGAAGTTAGTCTGGATTATTTATATATTATGAAAGTACCATCATTTGTTATCTACTTTATTTTGTTATCGTTTATTAAAAGGAAAGCTCACCACTCAGGTGACATTTCCCAAAGTACTTTTTTCTGAATTGATTGGAGGAAATAATGCTTCCCATTTCCCCACCCCCTACCCCTCTCCCACCAGGATGAGTACTCAGTGGCAGCTGGGGGATCTGTATTTCACTTGGCTAATTTGTTCTTCCCACCAAGGATGAGGAGGAAGAACCAGCCTTACATTGGCCTCTGTTATGGGAGGGATGGGCAGGAGGGGGTAGGAAAGTGGATGACGGATACGAAGACCAGACGGTTTGATAGTAGCCTAGGAAAACAAATGATGGTTCAACTTTTGGTTCCATGAAACTATTGATTAACATAGAAGCCATTTATAGAATGTTTTTGTTTATGAAAAATATCCAAAGAAAACCAGCGGGCTCCATTCTGTTGGGTTTGTGCAATGGACAAGCAGAAGCTGCCGCAGATTCTGCACGTGAACTACAGGGTCATCTTTCAGTGGCTGTTTCCCAGACCGTTCTTGCTTTCCCATTAGTTACCGACCTGTTGGAACATCTCTGAGCTCTGCATTCATCCCCTTCCCATCATGGTGTCTTTTCATCCTCTCACTGGAGCTGGGGAATGTGCCTTCTTCAGAGCTTCGGTTTCTCATGTGCCAGCACCTTAAGAATGTCTTCCCTTCACTATTCTCCTATCCTCTCCAAAAGCCTGTGTCAGAGCCCAGGGTGAGGAGCTGTTTGCTGTAGCTGGTGCAGGCTGTCATCACCAATGTTAAAAATCTCTTCTACCACAGCAATGCGGGAGGATTTTTGTGTCAGCCAAGGCTCTCGAATCTGGAAGGATGGTGTTTGGTCCTGGAGTCAGCTAGGTTGAGGAATAACATGTCCCTTATCTTTAAGCAACAGCCAGTCCCACTGGAAAGCGGAACCTTCTGCTCACGGTGCCTTACGGGCAGCCTTGTGGGGTGGCCACAGCTCCATGCAGTCTGTGGCAGGAGGGGCATGTGGCAGCTGTTCCTCCATCATGGGGGAGCTGGAAGCACCAGAAGATGGCTGCCTTAAGGCTTCCACCCTGTTGCAGCTGAACTAATTATATCCTCCCAATGAAGGGAGAAATTGGAACAGTCCATTTGCATTGAAACCAGGCTGATATGGTGGGTTCAGAATTACTCTAGCATTTATGTCCTCTGAATTGTTTTAATTAACAGCTCTGCAGTACCAGTCTTTTCTTTAGCTTTTATTGCTTCCCTCCACTGGCAAAACCTAGCAATTCAGAAACATCTGAACCAGATTTCTGTCACATTCTGCCTGTCGGAGACCTAGGATCTCAGTCTGCTTGGTCAAGACTGGACCACAGTGGATGGCCACGTGCACTTTGGTGGTTTTCACTGTTTGGGTCCAATGTGTGCTTAAGATGAATGAGATCTGTTGGTGAGGAAAGATCTGAAGATCTCTAAGATCTGAAATCTTAGCTTTTAAATCTTGTTCCCCTTTGGTCTTTAGTTTCATATTGAAGTGGTAAGAAACCCTGTCCTTTAATTCATCTTCCACTTAAGGAGAAAAAACAAGGAAGCAGAATGGGCAAATTGATTTATGGTGGACATTTAGAAAAGCAAATGAGTATACCTTGGCTAAGCAAAGCCATGGTCAGAGCCCTAAGGTATTAAAGTGAGACCAGCAATAATATCTAAGAAATCATCTTCAATGGCTCAACACCAGCTAATTTACTGCAGAGAGAAAAGAAAATGGATGACACTGAAATCAGCTGTTGTAACAACCAGCAAGAAGAACTGATTTGAACTTTAGTACCAACTGGAAAATAAAGTCCTCCACACAGAGACGATGGGAAGACTTATGTAAATT